GACGCACCAACGCTGACCTTATATACTGCTCTGATAATGGAGAGCAGGTGTGCCTCGTCGCCTGGAATGCACCCTCACCTGTGCGGGGGGGGAGCTGCTACCTGTGCCTGCTACCGAGGTACATGGGGCGGCCCGAGTCACAGACGTAACAGGGACAGATTTCAGTGTATAAAGGGCAAGGGTGCAGTCCAAAGCTGGATGACCGTTGTTAGATATTAGTAATTGTTAGACCTTAATGTGTTAGTAATGCAATTTAGTAAGATTCAAAGTCTGCTCTAGTCTGTTTTGTTTCAAGGTTAGCAGACACAATGTTGATTCTGAAAAGTGAACCATGGCACCAGTTGTTTCCTTCTATTAAATCTTGTGTTAGAATATTATGCCTGAATAAATGAATGAATGCTTTAGCTATGCACCACGTGACAACATACACACACACATTGAGATTCTTCATTTTGTTATGACTAGGTAGAAATGCAGCTGGAGTACTAGATAAGAGATGGAGTCTGTGGCTGGACTTCATCTGGGTAAGGAGTTAGCCCAAAACTTATAAATGTATTAGGCTTTGTGTGGCCAGGGACTTCTTTCTCCAGCAGCCAGTGTGTGTCTCTGGTGGAGGGAGCAACCTGGGTCGTGTTTATAACTTTTACTTGTGGTTTAAAATAAATCAGCACTAAATGAAGAAAGACGGACTCCTTCGTCATTCAGAGCTGTCCAATTAAAGAACTGGGGTATTACACTGTAGTCTCCGATCCCTCAGACGGCACTGCATCAAGAATCTTCACTCTTCTATAAGCAATAAACTCACATGGATTACTTTGGAACACTTGTGTCAGGCTCTAAAATATGTAGTTACAGTACATCCATAAATGTCACTTAAAACTGTACTGTGCCAAAAGGAAGCCCTATGTCAACAATGTTCAGAAGCTCAGTCGACTGCTCTGGGCAAGGAGACAACTGGGACAGACCATCACACAGTAGAAATGTGTATTGTCAGACAAATCAATATTTCAGGTTTTTTTTGAAGGAACGGACGACATGTGCTCTGGACCAAAGACAAAAAGGACCATCCAGACTGTTACCAGCACTGACGATGGCAGCCTTGGTCACTTGTGCTCTCTTGTGTTTGTTGTTCTTCTTTGTTTTCTCGATCTTTTGCAGCCCATCCCGGATTACTTTTACCAGAGAAGAACTGTTAAATATTGGACAACTCACAAAGAACTACCTTTCTCCGACTTTTGCAAACAAAGAATGCTGTATGGACATTCTGATCGGAGGCGCAGCTGCCATATACAGGACCTGAAAAAAACGCCGGTGTGGCAAGTGTGCGGGCACCTTGGTGAGGCTACCCCAGAGAGGGTTCCACTCTGTCCCCCGTGCAGCCCTTGGACTCTCTGAGCACTGTATGGTCCATCTCATTGCAACCTACAGGCAGAAACTTAAAGCTGTGAAGCCTGTGGTCAAAACAGTGAAGAGCTGGACTGTGGAGGGTAAGTAAGAGCTACAGTCCTGCTTTGACTGCACAGACTGGAGTGTATTTGAGACTGCAGCTACAGACCTGGATGAATTCACTGACACTGTCACACATTATATCAGATTCTATGAGGATGTGTGTGTGCACAAAAAGTCCTTCTGCACATACAACAACAACAAGCCCTGGTTCACAGCAAGACTCAAGCAGCTTTGTCATGCCAAAGAGGAGGCTTACAGAAGTGGGGACAGGACTCTCTACAGCCAGGCAAGGAACACACTGACAAGGGAGATCAGAGTAGCAAAGAGGAGCTACTCTGAAAAGCTGAAAGCTCAGGTTTCAGCCAACGACCCCTCGTTTGTGTGGAGAAGCCTGAAAAGCATCACTGGCTATAGGTGCGTGGCCTCTTTAAAAAATAAAGGTTCAGAAAGGCACCAGGCCCAGATGGTGTGACCCCCCTCCTGACTGAAAGTGTGTGCTGATCAGCTGGCCCCCATCTTCACACTTATCTTCAACAGGTCACTGGAGCTGTGTGAAGTCCCCCCCATTCATGTACTCCATCATCATCCCAGTGCCTAAGAAAACCTCCATCAGTGGACTGAATGACTACAGACCTGTCGCCCTGCCATCTGTAGTTATGAAGTCCTTTGAAAGACTGTTGTTGGCCCACCTGAAGGACACCGTAGACCCCCTGCAGTTCACCTACCGGGCAAACAGGTCAGTGGATGATGCAATTAACATGACACTGCATTACATCCTGCAACACCTCGACTCCCCAGGGACCTATGCACGGGCCCTCTTTGTGGACTTCAGCTCGGCATT